TACCAATATTTAATAAGATAATTTTTTAAATTTTGAATTAAATGTTAATTAAATAAAATGATGTAATTTAAGATTAAAATTTTAATTATTTTTAAAAATCAAGATTAATATGTACATTTTTTTTAATAAATTAATATAAACAGGAGTTTCATAAACATGTTTTTACCATTTTCTCAAACTGCACTTTTTTTTTTAATGAGATTACATCTAACAATTGAAATCTCATCATAAATATTGATATTTAAATTTAAAAATTTACTATATATTTTAATATATCAACATTTAATAAGATAATTTTTAAAATTTTTAATTAAATTTTAATTAAATAAAATAAAATAATTTAAATTTTTAATTTTAATTAATTTTAAAAATTAAAATTAACATTTGCGTTTTACTTAATAAATTAACATTAACAGGAGTTTCATAAACCTCTTTTTGACCATTTTCTCAAACTGCACTTATTTTTCGGCAGTTTCGTACAAAAAAGTTATGTGGACTGCATTGATTCTGTTTTAACTTTTACGAAAAGAAAGTCTTTGATGTGTTTAGCCCATAAAATAATCAAAAGTTTCCATTACCTATTTTCAAAAAAAAAAAAAAATCAAAGGTTGAATAACTACTACATTATGAAATGCAAAAAGAAAAAGGATGAGAAATGAATGGACCATGGACGATTATTTTCAACATTAACTTAAATCCTATTAATTCTCATTTTTACTGTGTATTCCTCAAAATCAAAAGCTATAATCTGGTTTGAGTAATTTGTTGCTCAATGGCCTCTCTCCATCTCTCAATTCCTCCCCTTTTCCTTCTTCTCCTCCTCCTCCTTCTTCCTCCTCAACCTCATCAAAAGCAGGATGGCTGAGTATACTGTTCAGCAGCTGTGTCCCTCTGAGAGCATTCGTCAATGGCAGATGCCCTTCCGGCGTGTCCTCCGTCAGTTCCCACATGAACTCGTTAGGAAAAGACCTGTAATTGTATTGCTCCACTTCTGTGTCCAGCTTCTTCATCCACCCAACTTTGAGGAAGAACCTGGTGAAGTCCTTGTTGGCATTCTTCCATAGCTTTCTCTGAACGCTGTACCCGAATTTGTTGTCGCTGTACTTTTTCCAGAGGTCGTCGATGGCTTTGAGGTCTGTTTCTGAGATGAATTGGACTTCGGAGAAGAAGACGTAGCCGCGCTTTTGTGCTGCTTCGCCGGCGAGGACGATGAGAAGGCGGCGGGTTTCCTCGTCGGCTTGGCGGAAGTTTTGGGTTGAGAGGTGTTGGTGGAGGAGGTCGAAGGAGATAGGTTGGGAGGTGGAGGTAGTAGAAGAGGAGGGAGTGGTGGAGGAAAGAGAGAAGGTAGTGGTGGAAGAGGAAAGGGAAGTTGTGGTAGTAGTGGTTGCGGTGGTGGCGGAGGAGGGAAAGGGTTTGAGGAAGAGAGAGGGGGCGATGGAGGATGGAGGGTGGCTGGTATCGGAGGTAGGGAGGCGCGTGAGCAGGGTGTGGTGGCAGTGGCTGTGGCGGTGGTGGTGGAGAGAATTCATCTTTGTGTTTGGAAAGGAGGGATTTGTGGTGAAGTTAAAGGGTCAGACAGGATGGGTTGTGATAAGAAGAATGAGAAGAGGAATCGGTTGTAATAAAATGGAGGATTCCGATTGGTTAGAAATGGGTGAGGCTGGATTTTCTTTCTCCAAAAAAATTAGTACTAATATTTACCATAAAAATTTTATAGAGTAATAATGTAAATTTTTATTACCCATTCTAACTTAAAAAATAGTTTTTTTAAAGTGTGCCTTTAGCTTTAATTATTTTTATTATTAATTAATATTAAAAAATATGAAAAAATAAATATTAATTCTATTACCTGTGTTATATGAATTATTTTAATTATGTAACTACTTAAATAAAAGTTAATTTTTATTTTTTTTAATATTCCTCTTAGTTAGATTTATTTATTCTACTTTATTCATTTATAATTACTGTAAAATTTATTTATTATGAGTAATAATAGGGATTATGAAAATTTAAAATTAATAACGTGACATAAATCAAATTATTAAATTAGTTGAAATATGTAATATTATGAGTTTCAAAAAAATAAAAAAAACTAATCATTAAATAGTATATGATTCACCTTTGATTATTTTAAATTATGTTATATAAATCACTTCATTAGTCTTAAATTTTAATTTTATTTATTTTTATTAAAAAATATAATGATTACTTTAGAAGAACTAAGGATAGAAAAACTTCTTAAAATTTCCACCTGCAATCCCAAATACACTTCAAATATTTGAATTAAAAATTTGCAGCATTGACGTCCACTAGAAGCCCCTTGATTCTTAGTTGGTAAGTATTAATAAAAGTTAGTTAATCAAAAATAAAAATATTGAAAAAACCAAAACAAAAAAACAGCTGAGTTTCGATTTGGACATCTAGATTTGAAATTTTGGGGGCTCTCACTAGGGCCTCTGTTGGATTTTTCAGAGATCAAGCGCCACCAGAGAGTCATTTAATATGGTTACTTTCTTTTGAGCCATACCTCTCCTCTGCCCCCACCAATTAGTTGGCTCTACCGAGTTGGTTTCCAGGATGGCCAAAAAGAAAAAGGAAAAAAAAACCCCCCAATTTTGTTCACTACTCATAAAGCCGTTACTCCCAGACATTTCTTCCTCCACATCTTTGGCTCTCCTATCTACATACCAGTGAAAACTCCGCACCATAAGATCAACAAAAAAGGTCTTTATGTATTCTCCTATTATGGTTTATTGGTGGTCATTACAACTTAAAAAGACTGTCAGTGGAATGCAATCCGACCAGTGGTCGAATATTATCAAAGAGTCTATTGTGATTTATTGGTGGTTATTGCAGCTCAAAAGGACTACTGATGGAATGCATCCTGACCACTGATCAAACATTATTAAAGAGTACGGTACTAATTTTTAACTCTTAATTTCTAATCATTACCCTTGTTAAAAAAAAAAAAAAAAATCTTTACTTTTCCCATTCTCCTAGCAATCAAAAGGTCAAAAATTGCGGTTGTGGTGGAATTAAGATCCGCCTCCACTTCCAATAAGGAACAAGCCTTGGACATGCACACCAAAAGGTGAGAACAAATTTGGCTTTTTGTAAATTTTTTAATATATTTAAATATATTAATTTGATGAATAATGTCAAAGGAGCTTCAAGAAGCCACGTCAACAAAATCAGTTAATTTTTGAATGCAAGATGTTAGCTCCTCTTAAAAATCAGAGAGTAGCATAGTGTTATTTATTTTTATATGTAGTATATGTAATAGTCTGCTGAGTGCACTTAGAATCCCTCTAAAAATTAATTTTCTAAATGGATTGCTGTCTCAACATTAAAAAAGGGGCAATTTGCCATCTCCAAAGGTGTTGAGGGGTTTATTTGCCAGCAAAAGGAGTTGGGAAGATGATCTTCCCCAAATAATAGAGGTTAAAGGGCTAATTTGCAAATTGCACAACTTGCTAAATAAAACAAGAGAATAGGGATAAACAATGGCCCATAAAGGTCTCGAACCTGCTTATGACGCTCCAACCAACTGAAGCTAATAGGCCAATTCACACCATCAGGTAAAATTAATCGACTAAATTATATATTTAGCCCCTCACATTAATGAGTTTAAACTTTTTAATTTATTAGTTTACATTATAAAGTTTTTAACTCTTACACTTATAAGTTTAAAGATTTTATCTCCTAAATTAACATAATCCATTAACTTTCCATTAAAATGAAAATAAAATATTTACAAAATCAGTCTTTAAAGATTAAAAATATAATAATTTAGTTTTAAAAGTTTCAAAATTAAAAATAATTAGTGGATGGCTTTGCCATATACACAAAATAGTATTAGATATTTACAATCAAACTGAGTAATTAGTTTAATCTAAATAAAGATATTAGATTAAGATTAAAGAAAATTTATTGACTGTATTCTTATAATTTCTTAGACTTTCTATTTTAACTCAATTTAGAAATTTTCTTTAATCTCAATCAATATTATTTCTTCAAATTAAGTTAATCACTTGATTTATTATAAATATTTCATACTATTCTAGTGGGTGTAAAAATGTCATCTAATAGTTCTTTTCATTTTACTAATCTTTTTAATTTAAAAATTTTTAGAACTAAATTGTTTCATTTTTAATTTTTGAAGTCTAATTCTGTAAATATTTTATTATCACTTTAATAGATAATAAACAGATTCCGTTAGTTTATAGGTTAAAATCTTCAAAATTTTAACTTAAAAGTTAAAAATTTCAAGATATAAGGTGAGGAACTAAAAATTTCAAATTTAATAAGGTAACAAGATAAACACATCTTTTAACCAAATTAATTAATCCTCTTATTATAAGATTGGCTCTAGATAAGTTCAGAGACGTTATGGATGTAATGCACAAGATGTAGTGCACAAATATCAAATAGGAAAAAAAAAATGTAGAATTGTGAATAATATATAAATATGAAGATTAACTATTTTTAATATTTTTAAATTTATATTTTTTTAAATATTTACAATTAATATGTTTTCAAATCAAATTTTATATATTTTAAAATTAAACTCTTTTTGTGATGTAAAGGGCGTATTCGTGACATCAACATTTGCTTAAATTTAAGATTTTGAAACTCAGTAAATCTTAACTTGCAGACTTGTTCACCAGTGGCAGGATTTGGATTAAGTAATCTCAATCGGCTCAATTATATTCATATTTACAAACATGGAATACATGCAACAAAGGGGGTGTGTATTGATATCAAGAAATAAACTTAGAATGTGTTTTGTTCGCAAAAAATAATTCTCAACTTTCGCTTAGGATTTGTTAGAAGCTTATAAATGTTAAGTACATGGTATTTGCATGGGCTAAACATAAGTACATATATTCCACCAAAATTTGAATAATTGTTTGAATAAATTTGGAAAATGGGTTTTTTTTTTTAAAGAATTTGTAACTCAATTTAAAACATGAAGGAAATAACAAAATAAAAATGGTTTAAATCATTAAATTTTCTTTTTCTTCATGTAATTCAGACCAAATTTGCTTAAAAAATCATTTTCATATATTTATTAGTTCTTTAAAAATTTATTGTCTTTCTTCCCATTTTTATAAACTTTCTTTTCTTCCTGGCTTTAAACTTTGAAAGTCATAAAGAACTAAAGATCATGTTAGCGAGGCCCAAACCAAAAGTTCTCATTATCCACAAACGACACCGTCCCAACTGCTTACCAAGGAGTGTCATCGAACCTTGGGGCCACCGGCCCACCGGAGATCTTCGACCCCGTGTAGGCTCTGATTATCATTTATGCAAGGAGCTGACTGCAGTTTTCAGAAGGAGAAAAGAACGAGGGAGCGATGGAGGAAGAGGAACATGAAGTGTACGGAGGAGAAATCCCCGACGAGGGAGAGATGGAAGGTGACATGGACGCTAATCACGACGTCGACATGTCCGCCGCCGACGAGGATGCCGTCAAGGTCCCTTTCACACCCTCGCCAAAACTTTATACATCGATTGTATTTAGATTTGCCTTTTCCGCCCATACTTACATCTGTTCTTGTTTGTGATTCGTTACGCAGGAGCTAGATGAGATGAAAAAGCGTTTGAAGGAGATGGAAGAGGAAGCCGCTGCTCTTCGCGAAATGCAGGCTAAGGTCGAGAAGGAGATGGGATCTGTTCAAGGTTTCTTGCTTCTTTTTAAATTGTGTAACGTAGGCATGAATCTGGATTATAGTTGTTTATATATTTTACTTTTGTGTGATTAAAGTGTTTTTGTTCATTTTTCTATTGCGTTAGGGTTTCTGGATTCGATTCTGTTGATTCAATTGTGTTGAAATGAATCTGTTGAGTTCTTTGCTGAACTTATCTTTGTTCCTTTATTTATCTCCAAAGGCCGAAGGATATTGATTCAGGTTTCAGAAAACCAATGGTTCCGTGCCATTTCCTTTTTTAGAAAAAAGAAATCAATGATTCAGTAACTGTTTAAGCTTCCAAGTAAACCAAGAAATCTATTTTGGTTCCTTTTTTTCAATCTCCCTTTTGTGTTTTTGTTGGTAAACTTGTTCCAGGATGACATGATGATGATGATATGTGCCTGTTTGTAATCCAGATCCTGCTAGTGCAACTGCTAATCAAGCAAGCAGAGAAGAGGCTGATTCAAGATCAGTTTTTGTTGGCAATGTGAGAAACAGAATACTCTCTATAAACTATTTTTTGTTGTAGAATAGTTACTGTAGTCCTTCAGCTTTTGAGACATAGTTCTAGCCCTGTGCTTAAAGGATGAAAGTTTTAGTGGGTAAATCATCATCCTATCCCATGCATGATTCTTCTGCTGGAGATGATCAAGATGTACCTTTCTTTGGATGGGTTTTATTCATATGATGCATCAGTGTCTGAAATGTCACTTCATATATTGATAAGCTTTTATTGGCTGGAACATACATTTCAATGACTTGTAGTTGTAAGGATGTAAGGAGCTGGCATGTTGATTTTTTTTCATCCTTGTTCTTTTAAGTAGCTTATGATCCACATTACATAATATAATACAACAGAATTCTGAGGAAATTGAATATTAGACACTTGATTGACCTCTGCTTGGGCTAGAAAAAAATTTTGCATTTGAATTGCCAAAATTATAAACATTTGTCTCAAGCTTGGTTTTGTTTGTTTCAATATTTTTCTCCACATGCCTGAATTAATTAATTAAACAAATGAAAAGCAGTCGTCTGTCCGTGTTCAACACCTTTTCCTTTCCCATCAGTGCATACCAACACTGACCTTCTAGGTTAGGTCCCAGACTTATTACCTTCCTTGCTTATA